GGGCAGTCAGATACTTAGAGATATCCTCCCTGAAGGCATTCAGCCAACAGATTACTGTCTGGTCCCACCACAGGTGGGGCTCACTCACTGCAGTTAAGGATAATGGATTACTTTCCCTGAAAGCTTAGGCTAAATCAAGTCTCCAGCTCAAGGGCAATCAAGGTTAGGCCACATCATGAATCTAGGATCCGCCCATCTTGTCACATGTGTACCCCCAATCCCTTCCCTTCCTATTGCATGTACACCCCTAGATCGTCCCCCTCCCATTACTGTAGTACCTATAGTACAACCCCTTGCTGTGACGTATGTCTTTACCTGTAATTAGGGGGCTTGCACACCCGCAAAAGATATATAAGCCCTGGTTAGTAATAAACCTCTTCCACTCGTTCCTGCAATTGCCACCTTCCACATTCTCATGTGGACCACCAAGTGGGGCTGAGGTGAGCATGCTACTATGAAATGTGTCTGACTCCTTTGTTTCACTCTCTTCTCTCTTATTCTCTATGACTTTACTATAATCTTTACTTATTATCGCTGTACAATTGCGCCTGCCGGGCCTGTGGTGATTTGTTGGGGGCTGGCTCCCCTGACACATTGGAGGGATGTATGGACTGTGATAAGAGATTTAAGAGCCCCTAATAAAAGTATTTTTTAAAAAGGAAAGAAAGAGCTTTATATACAATAGCAATTGAGTATTGAGAAAACATTCCAGCCCAGTCCAGATTAAGTCCTTAAGTCCGATATTAGCCCATATGTCCAACACCAGTCTATAATTTCTTCTTCAGACTCATGCAACACATGCAGTAACTCCAAATGCAGGAATAGCACAGGTCAGTGGGTGGAAAGTCTTGTGGATCCAGTGGTGGTATAAGCATCTCAGCCCTGGCAGAGGCCTCTATGTGGCTTCTTCAGCTCCAGGGCTCTAGTGTAACTCTATGTGGCTTGTCTTCAGGAATATGAAACAGAGAGAAAGTGTATCTGGCCTCCAGTGAGTTATTTATCTTCTTAGTGCCTCCAAGTGAGGTCATCAAGCTGCAACCTGATTGAAAGGCTAATTTACACCCCTTCACTCTTAATGAGCTCAAGTTGGCAACAGATTATGTAACTACCACAGTGTGTATCATGGCTTTTAAAGAATCCCCAGCTTCAAAAGATACCAATATGCAATGGTGGAATGGCAACTGAGTGTAAGAAAGGACAACTCTAAATGAGGAAACAATACTGGATAGGAAGTCATAGTTACTATTCCATAGCAATTAACTAAGATCTGTGCACAAGTATAGTAAGGAGTCTCTGTTCTACCTTCTTAGGTTGAACGGCTGCTTGGGAAGCTCTGGTTTTCTAATCTCGAGATGGACTCTCATCCTTGATGGCTCCTGGCTTTCTCCTCTTGCATCTCTTCCTTGCTCCTGATTCTCTATGGCTCCACATCATTACTTGGGCATTTGAAAGTATGTACTTCTCGAGAGCCAAGATTTCCTAGAAGGTAAGAATGCAAACGCAATCGGCATACTATTCTGCATTGGCAATGGCAAGGACTTTGGAAGAGGTGGCATAAAAGAAAGAGAAACCGGAGTCCGAGATCGGAGTGGATGAATAACGTGTGGTCAGGTTGTCATTGTTAGGTGCTGTCCAGTTGGTTGCGACTCACAACAGCCCATGTACAATAGAGTGGCCCTACACCATCCTCCAAATTGTTACGTTTGAGGCCATTGTTACTGTGTTGCTTCACCTGCTGGAAGGTCACCCTCTTTTTCGCTGCTCCTCTACGGCACCCAGAAGGAAGTCCTTTTCCAGGGACTGGTCTCTCCCGATAAATATGTCCCAGGTACGTGGTATTGATAATAGGACTGCCTACATTGTATTTGAAGTTCTTTCTCGTGACAATGCATAAGGAAAGTATGTTACACGATGAAGAGGCATTGAGGAGTGATTGTTTACAGAAATCAAAGTAAGCAGTACCTAACGCCAGTGCTGGGTGCAGGTAAGGGGGAGAAACTGTCTCCTGAGCCATGAGAGCCATAGCACATGTCTGCTCCTCTAGTTAAAACTGCCAGCTAGGGAACCGATTACAAGAATCTACATATAGCCTCCTCCCTGGGGGATGGACGGCAGAGAAGAGGGTTGGGGGGGGGGGGGAATGTCGGACATTGTAACATATGACAAAATAATAATGTATGAATTATGAAGGGTTCATGGGGGAGGGGGGAGCAGGGAGGGAGGGGGAAAATGAGCAGCCGATATTAAGGGCTCAAGTAGAAAGCAAATATTTTGAGGATGATGAGGGCAACAAATGTACCTATGTGGTTGACACAATGGATGGATGGATGGATTGTGATAGGAATTGTATGAGCCTCCAATAAAATGATTTAAAAGAAAAGAAAAATGAATATGTGTTTTCCCATGGTCTCAGGTGACCCCTGTGAATCGGTCATTTGACCCCCAAAGAGGTCACAACCAACAGGTTGAGAACTGCTGTACTACGATAACTATAAATGACCAATTTAAATTCGATGTCACTGTGAAAATAAAATAAAACAAGAACAACAACAAAAACTGCAACCAGATAGCAATCAGCCATGTGCTTGTAAGGGGTAACTTTAAGGCAGCACTATTAAGGGAGGATATTGTGGGGATCAATATTGATTATGAGAATGTAATTGGGACTCCTCTCTAACTCACAGGTGGGAAGGTCTCCCTCCTCCCAGAGTCTTGGCCTGCCAGGCTTCTCAAAATATAAGAATAAAGAATGTGCCCGCATGCACTCTCTTCCCAGTCCTGTTTCCCACAATATGACTCCTCTGAATTGTGCATCCCAGTGTCAAAGTATGTCTATCTGTCTATCTATCATCTATGTATCTATGTATCTATGTATGTATGTATGTATCTATCTATCTATCTGTAATTATCTATCTATCAATCAATCATCTATCATCTATCAATCAATCATCTATCTATCATCTATCAATCAATCAATCTATCTAGCTAGCTAGCTATCTGTCTTCTCCATGTATTCCAGTAACAAATGAGACCCCATTGAGACAGCCTGTGTGGCTAGTGGATTCCCTTCTAATGATCTCATCTTCTAATAGCACTTCTCTTTTGCTCTCTAATGTGCTGTTAATGATTTTGGCTCTGCGGCTCTGGTGCATGACCCTTATCAGAGGTACAATCTACTCGGAGCAGCCCCTGAAAACCAAAGGTATTCATGAGCATGGAAATCACAGGGGAGTTCAGAGAAACTCTTGTTACTTACGGAGAGGAAGTTGACTGACTATGACCCCATTCGTGATCTGAGGACCGGCGTTAGATTAATGAGACATTCATGTTTTCACTTGACATCTGCATAGACTATTGCTTATCTTCTGCAAAGATATTCTGTATTCTGTTATGCTCTTTTTCTAAAATGTTCATAATTATGTCTACTTATCTATGTCTCTATCTTTATCAGACATATAGAGACCTTATAGAGCAGAGTACAACTGCTTCCCAGAGTTTATGAGGCTGCACATTTTCATAGAAGCAAATTGCTTCATCTTTCATCTGGTGGGTTTGACTCAATGACCTTTGGGTTAGTAATCTAATGCTTAACCCACTGTGCTTGCTATGAGTGAGAACTGACTCAATGCTCATGGGTTTAGGGATTTGTATTTATGTCCAATACATCACAATCAAATGTAGTTTCTTCTAGGAATGCAAGGGTATTTTAACATTCAACAAATTAATCAATGTAATTTATGATGATGTAACTTAAAGGATGAATAGAGTATGATCATTTTCTGCACAAACACATTTGATGAAATTAAACAGCCATGCATAATATTTTATTTATTTTTTGATGTTATATTTATTTGGCATTATGATGATTTTTATTTTTTATCATTTTATTTGGAGCTCTTACAGACATCATAACATTCCATAGTTCAATCACATCAAGCATTATTGTACAATTGCTACCACAGTCAATTTCAAAACATTTTCTTTCTTCTTGAGCTCCTTGATATCAGCTCCCTTTTAGCCCCTCCATCCCCTCTCCTCCAGGAACCCTTATTTATTTTTTAATTTTTGCTGCATCTTACACCATGCAATATATCCATTTATGTACAATTCTGTTATTCACTCCCCTTGAGTGGGGTTGGACAGTCATCAGTATTATAAGCTGCTCCCTTTCACCCTTCCTTCCCCCGTTTTCCCATTCCCTCAGGGAACCATTACTCCTGTTACTGTTTCTGAGGGGTTATCTATCTTGGCTTTCATGTATCGAACTATCTTAATTATACAAATAAACATACACAAGTCCAACATGATTAATGAGGTAAAACAAATAAAAACCATAATTGTAAGGGGAGGAAATAGTAAAGAATTAGAGGATATTTATGTGATTCATCGGTGCTATACCACCACACCCTGGATTTATCATTCCTTCCATGTGGCCCTTCAGAAAGGGATTATCCAATTAGCTTTCATGTGGGTTTTGGGTCTCCACTACATCCCCACCCCTTCGCATTGATTTAGTTGCTTGTTTTTGAACTTCTGATACCTTTTTCCATCAATACCTCATGATCATACAGACTGGGCATGGTATTTTAAAAACGAAGAAGAAATTTCTAGCAAACCAAGAATAGAAGCACATTTCTATAATCTGGTTAAAAGTAGACACACACGCAAAACACATAACAAAAATATGGTCTTGTGGTGAAATAATAATGTTTCCCCTCAGTGGATTATCTCATCTAGGCCTTACAAAATCCCTGTAAAGTTTTCCCTTACTTTCTCCTGGACTCTTTTCTTGTCTTCTCTCCACCACTTACCCCAGGCTATAGGTTGAAGTCCCCACACTAAAAATGGCGATAGTAACTTCACTTCTATTTATTCCCCGAAATCCAATGTCTAACTCTAAGATCGGACTATAGCAGTTATGACTCCAGGTGAGATGAAGCTAGTTTGGGAGCAGGGCAAGAGAAGAAGGTAGATCTCAAGAGGGCTCCCCAGCACCCTCCTCACCTTGCCTGTAACTCAACATCTAAAGGGGGTGGCATGGAGGTGGAAGCTGTATCACCAGTCTGGTCTGGGTCCTCCTGCAGGGCCCTCTCCAGACTGGCAGGCAGGGATTGGATCAGTCTCTTTTGGAAGTTCTGGCCCACGAAGACATAGAGCACCGGGTTGAGGCAGCTGTTGAAGAAGGCCAGGTGTTTTGTTAGGTCAAATAGTATTGCAAGGGTCTCTCTGAACTGACTTGTAGACCAGACTGTAATTAGCAAGGCCACCAGTTGAAAAGGGAACCAGCAGAGGAAAAAGGCAACTCCGATGGCAGTGAGGATCCTTAAGGGACGTCTGGAGTTCACCAGGCCTCTTTTGCGTATGTTGGTAGCAACAAGCCCATAGCAAACAGTGATGACGGCCACCGGGATATTGAAGGCAAAGATGAACCGAATGGTCACGAGGCTTATTGACAGTGGGATGGCCACCTTCTCTATCTCTTCAATGGTGTCACCCAATAATGATTCAAAGCAGATGTCACAATGTGTATACCCATCCTCATCGCTCCGTGTATTCGTGAAGATGATAATTGGCAAGGAAAAGAACAGGGCAAGAAGCCAGACTCCAGTGATCACCTTCTTGGCCAGACCCACAGTGCGGTGGTTCTGGCTCCAGACAGGATGCAGGACACAGCAACAGCGGTCCAGAGCAATGAGCGTGATCAGAAAGATACTTTCATACAGGTTGATCTCTACCATAATCATAATGAATTTGCATAAGAACCAACCAAATGGCCAATGTTTCTTGATGATCCAGACAATTCGGAACGGCAGGGTGGCACTGAAAGAGAAGTCAGCGACGGCCAGGTTCAGGTAAGTGATGGTGGTGACTGTGCGTGGCATCCGGAAGCCGGCCACCCAGATCACAAGGCCATTTCCCAGGATGCCGAGGACAAAGGTGATCCCAAGCATCACCAACAAGAGTGTGTGAAGAGCGGTGTAGTCAGCGGGTTCATCTAGCTCAGCAGACTGATTCAGAGCCGTGGAGAAGTTGGTTTCCATCTTGCTCACACCTAAAACATTGCAACCAGGGTCATTCCGAAGGTGTAAAACCATCTTCCACCATCCTTATTCATAACACACCCTGGTACCGACTCAACCAAAATGCTCACTTTGCTGAGCCTTGAGGCTGCTCATGAAACTGAAAAACTCTGGGCTATTCCTTTGGGGAGGGACAGTGTTGTTGTAGGTTCCCTTAACGAACCAATATGCCAATAGTCCAACTATCAGGCAGATGACTTGGCCAAGAGGAGACAAGGTTTCTGTCTACCAGCAGCGACCCTGAACCAAGGCTGTATAAAAAACCCAAACCAAACCAAGCATCATCAGGTCAATTCTGACTCATAGTGACCCTATAAGGCTTCATGGAACAGGTCCCTCGGGTTTCCAAGGCTATACATCTATAAGGTCTCCCGAAGAGTGGCTGATGGAGTCAAACTGCTGGCCTTGTGGTTAGAAGCCCACTGTGCAACCCACTATGCTAGCAGAGCTCCGCAAGGATGTAGAGGCAACAGGCAATACAAAGAAGAATGGTTCACTCTATTGAGAAGATGCTGGGAACTTAAATCAGTCAGATCTAGGTTCACATTTGCTTCCCATTCTTCTGTCTTTCTGAGTTAGTTTCACTGAGGTCTCCTCTGGACACTTTAATGTACTGCAGTGTTTCTCAGCTGGGCGCTAATGACATTGGGGGAATTCTTTGTGCTAGGGGCTGTTTAGCAGCATCCCTTCCCTCTAGCCACAAAATGTAAATAGCAGTCCCGTCTAGTTGTGACACCCCAAAGTATCTATACAAATCTCAAACTCATCACCATCGAGTAGATTCCCACTCATAGCAACCCTCTAGGGCAGACTGGAACTGCTCCATGAGTTTCAGAGACTGTACCTTTTTCTCAGGAGTAGAAAGCCTCATGTTTTCCCTGCAGAGCAGCTGGTGGTTTCGAACTACTGGCCTTGTGGTTGGCAGCCCAGCGCGCAACAACTACGCTACCACGGCTCTGATCAACATCTATAGACACCGTCAAATGTCCCTTGGAGGGGAGAGGGGCGGGAATTTATCCCCAGTTGAGAATCACTGCTACAGTGTTTCCCTGAAAGTAAGACCTCCCCCGAAAATAAGACCTACTTACAGTTTTGCCTCTCGCTGAAATATAAGGCATCTCCCCGAAAATAAGACCTCCTCGAACATAAGGCCTTCCCGATAATAAGGTTCCCCAAAGCTACCCTAACTCTGGACTCTGGACCGTTGTGGTGGGTGCTGCCACGCAGCTCACTGTTGGCCGCAGTGCAGCCGGAGCAAACTGGAAGTACGAGGTCTCTTTTAATAAAACAATAAATGTGTACCGTGTTCTTCTGCATGGAAAGATAAGACATCCCCTGAAAATAAGACTTCGCGCATCTTTGCTAGGTCTTATTTTCGGGGAAACAGGGTATAGTGTCAAGAATGCTGAGCTGTGGACTCAGACGTGTCTGTGTTCTCATCCTCATTGTTCTTGACCGGTGACCTCTCTTCAGGCCTCAGATGCCTTCCTGGCAGAATGGGGAGTTTTGTGGTGAAGACTAATTTCAGGTAAGAATTCCAAGCAAACGCATATAGAAAGATCCTAGGATGGCCGTAGCGACTCTTGGTCTTTAATAAACACCATCCAATTGCCGCACAGGGTTCCCAGCCCACGGAGTGAAAGCTGCGTGTTTTCAGGCAGGAAGTTTGCTGGCGGAGTGAGGCGCCTTCAGGTACCTGGTGGAACTGACTCATCAACCCCTGGAGTTGGAGGTGTGCACTTTGGGGCCAAGGCTTTCTGGAGGAGTAGTGTGACTAAGGGCACTTATCGGCAGAGCTGAAAGAACGTTGTAACTCTTGTCTGAGCGGGGCAAGGGCCAGGCTGAGGATGAGAGAGAGAGAGAGAGAATTGCCTGAGGGCACAGCTTGAAAGGGGTGGTCTTGAGCCAAGAACTGTATCCTGAGCATTCTTAAGCCTATTTGTAATCTATTACTTCCCTAAAGAACCCCATAACTGTGACTACGGTCTCTGAGTTCTGTGTGGCCTTGGTAAGAAAGAGGATCATGGGAGAGATGGTTGGGTGTCAAAAGTGGTCAATCATTTGAAGAGAAGAATCATATCTGACCTCTGACCCATGGAAGAGGAATGAAGCAGTGTGCTCCTGCAAAGGTTTACAGCCTCGGACATTCTGCACTGTCCTACAGGGTTGCCATGGATCAGAATTGCCTCAGTGGCAGGGGGTTGGGTATGGGCGTGACCCAACATTTGTCCTTAGATGTCCTTTTGAACGCTCAGCCTCTCAGGAATTGGTTTTTCTGGGTCACCTTCAAGCCCAGTACGCAGCTTCGTGGAGACTATTTTTACCTTCAGCATCGGAACCTTTGGGGGACGTGTCAGTATGTGCAGCCAATAATTTCCAGAAGCAGCAACTCCAGGGTCTTACTAGAGGCTATGTTTTAAGATAAGTAGCATGTCCTTAGTCATTTTGTTTTTCCAACTGACTGTCCCTGGGAAGAATTTCCCGTGACCCTCAGGATGCTACCCTGCTGAACACCTACATAACCCGTGTTCACTATCCCCTCTTTAGCATACCTTTCTGAAACTTGGCTTGACTTGCTTGGTTTGAATCCTGTGAATTCACAATCATTCTATTCCATGACAGTGCATTTGGGTGTTTGCACACTTAGGTTTTCTAACAATCACAATAGTCTGCTCCACACCCAAGACTGGTTTCCAAACTTCTAACTTGGGATTTGCAAGAGCTCCTGTCTCATTCCCGTGTCACCCCCGTCTATCCCTTAGACTTCTTCCATGCACTCCCGTCTTACACACTGCGCTCAGACCACAGTAGCTTCTTTGGATTCTTCTATCATGTCAAGCTCATTGCCCTCTCAAGGGTTTTGTGAACTCCATTTTCATCTACTGTGATACTCACCTTTTCAAGCTCTCCATGTCTGTGTTTTTCCCCCTGAATATTCAAAGCTCAATTTAAATACCGTGTCCTCAGAGAGGTCATCCCTGTCCCTCGCTCCAAAGCAGTTGCCCCAGGTGCAGCCTAGTTCATCAGATTTCTTTCTTGCTTAGCTGTCTGTTCATTGGCTTTCCCTCCTCAACGCCCTTCACACTAGTGTATAAACCCCACGCCCACTGAGGGCTCGATCTCTAGAATCCAAGGGAAACACAATGCAAGCCCTAATGGAGCCACACAGGTAACCTGAATTTTCTCCCGTAGAAGGTTCTCTAGTAAGCAACCAAAAAAAGAAAAAGTAAAATGATTCAGTGAAATTAACTTCAATACCAGATTTGACGTAACCCATCAGATCAAAAAAAGAGCACCAGCATGCAATCAATATAAAAAGTATTGAGAAGGTTTATATTCTACCTCCCAAGCTAAGTCTCTGAGCAGACTAAATGCATTTGACATCTACAGCACATCATAGTGCGGACCAGCCACTTGTGAAGAGCCCAATAGCCCCAGGTGGGGCGTAGATGCCGGCAGAATGGGGACATTGCTGTGTGCTCATGTGAACTATGGACGGTGGTCTGAGTGAAGGAGGGCATTGTCAAACCGACCTGAATATATGATGGAAATGAATATTAGTTATTGTAAAGAAAACCACATGTGGGAGTCAGGCCATAACCGGGAGTCAGGCCACAACCGGATGGCTCCTAAGGGACGGTTGGGTCATTGAAGAGAAGAAATAAAAAGACAGACAAAAGATTTTGGGTACTCACCTCCTCCAGGAAGCCAGGAACCAGGTCCAAGCCGGGGGTGGGGGAGTGGGGGAGAGTAATAATATATCCTTTCACCAACTTATGTGGTTTCTTGGGGCATGCAAGCCGCAGCCCCCTCCAACCACAGACATCTACTACATAACAAGATGGGCAGTATCTTAATCTTAGGGGTCCCTGAGCTCACTGGAGGAGTAACACCAGTGCTGAGGGCAGGCAGAGGGGAGGGACTGTTTCCGGGAGACTAATGGCAACATGCCTACTTCTATAGATAAAGCCGCCAGCCAGATAGCAATCAGCCCTGTGCTTGTAAGAGAGGTTATGCAGGGAGCGCTGGCATGGGAGGAAAGGGTGGGGAGGATTTTTAACTAGAAGAATGTATCTGAGGTTCCTCTCCAATTTACCCATGTGAAGGCCTCCCCTCCACCCAGAGTCCTGGCCTTCCAGGCTTCCTGAATTTGCATACTCTCTCTTCCCATTCCTCAGTTTCACACACAAACACACACACACACCCCACGTCAGGTAATATTTGATTGGCTGTGTTAAAAAGAGTACTAAGATTTGTGCCCCCAAACAGATGGTTTCAACACAGTATCCCTGCGCCTTGTGTATTGGGAGGTAGGTAGGTAACTGCCCTGCCCAGAAAGTTCAGCGCAAAAAAAAAAAAAAAAATTGAATTTCAAAGACACCTAGGATTGTTGGGAAAGTTTGGTTTTTTTTTTTAATTTCATGAACTACGACCTGTGGGAGGGTGGGGGAGGGAAGGGAAAAAAAGAGGAGCTGATGCCAAGGGCTCCAGTAGAAAGAAAATGTTTTGGAAATGATGATGTCAACCTATGTACAAATGTGCTTGATACAAAAAAACAAAACAAAACAAACAAACAAATGTGCTTGATACAACGGCTGTCTGGATTGCGATAAGCGCTGTAAGAGCCCCCACTAAGATGATTTATAAAAATTAAAAATCATTCAACCAAGAAAAGTTTTCTAAAAAGATAGTGTTGGGTGGGGAAGCGGTTTGGGTTTGTTGAACTGAGGGAAATGATCTGTTGTTTTTAAGCCGATGGTTTGGGCCCAGGTGGCATCAGAGGGTACATGCTGAGGGGTGGTTGGAATCAACCAGTCATTCAGGTGGAAAGAGAGACAGACAACCTCAGCCCCCACAGGCGGCAGTGCCACTTCAGCCCGTACGGCTGGTACGAGCTGGAATCATCTGGATGATAGTGGATTGGTGGTGTTTTGGGGGGTGGGTGGGAACATGTGAAAGTA